CCTCAAAGTCAACGTTAGATGGCAATGGTCATTACGTTCTCCGTCTTCCCACGTCTCACTGTCATCTCAGTAAAATGCTCATTTCGGTGAGAGATGTCTCGTGACTTATCAGCAACCTCGACCCAAAAAATCACTGGTCTAAGCAAATTTCCAGTGGTCGTCCTGAAGATTATCACCCCAGATCCGAGCGAAGTTATTTAACCATTCCTTGAAGGAGAAATATTTCTCAAGTATGTGAAATGTGGCAAGCGTATGCTCGGCCTTCAAGAAAGCCGGCAACCATTCCTTCTCCTCCCATTAGTCTCCTCAGTACCAGTATCAGTAAGTTTTTGGGGCCTTAATCAACAAGAATGTCTTTGTGTACCCGGATTGAAACAACCACTTGTGCGACGAGCAGTATAAGTTTCGATCAGCCAGATCCACTGCTGATGTTCTACGTACCATTGCAAAGAGAATCAGTGCGGCCCCTGACGACACATATACCGCAAGATGCAACGAATTACATATCTAAAAGGCCTTCGATAAGATGTGGCACACAGGTATGCTGCACAAACTCTCCAGGTATGGAATCTCGGGCAGGGTTTTCTCTATTACAAAATCTTTCCTAACAAGCCCATCCCTTAACGGCCAAACCTCCGATGCCGTGGTGGTCAAAGCAGACGTCACCCAAGGATCACTTATCGATTGAACCCTCTTCCTGATTTATATAAATGATCTAAGAATATACTCCGATCATTTGACGATATACGGGCGCATGTCTAAAATTCCTGACGATCAGCGATTGGCAGCTGACCTCTCTTCCGAATTAACACGAACTCTCCAGTGAGTTAAAAAATGGCTGGTTATATTCAATGCTTCTAAAATCAAAGTGGTTAGATTCGAACACCGTCGATCAGAAACCGAACGACCGCCAGTCACGATGAACGGATGTTCCCTCGAGAAGGTTTCGTGCCTTGAGAGGATATTGGGCCTCAAACTCACACCCGACCTCAAGTGGAATTCCTATATACGAACCATCGCTAAAAAATCCAGTTAAAATGTTCGGCTTCCCGTACCTGACTGCTCATGCTATCCTCTGCCTTTATAAGATCGAAATCATGTCGAAAATGGAGTACCATTGCCATACTTAGTAGGGAGCTTCCCAGTTCTCACTTTCCAGTCTTATTAGAGTCCATGTTCAAGTCTAGAGTCATTCCCCTTGGAACCGACTCCCAAGAGAATATTTTCCCGATCAAGACAATCTTAACACCTGTTCAAGTCTAGAGTCAGTCGTTGTCTTCCCCTCTGAACCATATAAACTACCTTTTAACGAAAGCCCCTACTTCAAGTGGCCCCGGGCTTTGTATAGAGAATATGAGGCCTCAAACTCACACTCGACCTCAAGTGGAATTCCTATATACGAACCATCGCTACAAATGCAGTTAAAATGTCCGGCTTCCCATGCCTGACTTCTCATGCTATCCTGTCTTTATAAGGTCCAGATCAGGTCGAAAATGGAGTACCGTTTTCATACTTGGGCGGGAGCTGCTCATACCTCACTTTCCAGTCTTGACAGAATCCATGTTCAAGTCTAGAGTCAACCGTTATATTCCCCTTCGATCCATATAACGAAAGCCCCTACTTAAAGTAGCCCCGGGCTTTGTATAGAGGATATGAGGCCTCAAACTCACACTCGACCTCAAGTGGAATTCCTATATACGAACCATCGCTAAAAATGCAGTTAAAATGTTCGGCTTCCCGTACCTGACTCCTCATGCTATCCTCTGCCTTTATAAGGTCCAGATCAGGTCGAAAATGGAATATACCATATTTGGACGGGAGCTGTCCAGACCTCACTTTTCAGTCTTGATAGAGTTCAACAGCGTCTCCGAATCCTTTTTAGAGAATAATTATTTTCTGCACTCCAACCGCTCCCACTGCTCTATTGTTACTTCCATGGAAAGTGCTCGAAAAATACTACATCTCCTGGTTCCACCAGGTGTGACCTTCACGGCTAAGACCCGCCATAACCTTTAAATATTAGCAAACTTACTAGATTCGCTTCATATTCCATCGGCGAGTAATAAGATCCACTCAAACAGCTTCTTGCCCGCGAACCATTGCCTTGTGGAACCGACTCCCAAGAGGATGTTTTCCCGAACACGAAAATCTTAACCTGTTCAAGTCTAGGGTTAATCGTTATCTTCTACATATAACTGTGCCCCTTACCCTGTATCTCTCGATATCCTTCTAATTCGAGTGGCTCACGAACCTTATACAGTGTAAACCTCAATATAAAAAAAAGGACCACATCAGTAGTAAATGTCTAACACTTAACAGCCGCTCCTCAGACAGGAAATGAATCTAGATGTAAATTATTTTTTTGTAGAGAGTAAAGCATTTATAACATTTACTAAATATGGTCTTGTCTAAGTTAAAAAGCACACAGTTGTGAATAGTACTAATTAGATTGTATTTATGTGCGTCAGTATTGCACGCGCGTCCGTAGGGGGTTTTAGGGATAATCTCTAACAAACCACCCCCGTTCTCCTCGTATTCCATCGGCGAGTAATAAGTTCCACTCAAACAGCGTTTTTTCATGAACCACTGCCTTGTTGAACAGGCTCGCAAGAGGATGTTTCCTAGATCATAACAATCTTAACCTGTTCAAGTCTAGAGTCAACCGTTATCTTCCCCTCCGATTCATATAAACTACCTTTTAACGTAAACCTCTACCACGAGTGGCCCACGGGTCCTGTAAAGGGAGAACATTACTGTAAAAAATAAAGATAATATATATATATGTATATATGTGTGTGTATGTATGTATACCAGGTGTAACAACAAAATTGTCCAAATCGTGTAACAGCATAATTGTCCATCCCACAAAATGTTTAATATCTAAAAAACATTGAACTAATTGAGTTTCTTTTTTACCAGGTTTTCAGATGAGATGTCTAGGCATCTTGACAGCGTTTGTCATTAGAATCACTGAAAAACCATTTGAGTTATTCAGCTAGAAAAGAACAGGTTAAAATCGTTTTATGTCAGACCTACTGCCTTCTCAACTGAGCAATGGCGAGAGGAAAAAATCATTCAGGCCTTCAGTGATGGTACTAACATTCATATTCTGACTTCCATCCTCAAAGTCCATTGAAGAACCACCAAGAGAACGGTGAATATATATATATATATATATATTTATATATATGTGTGTGTGTGTGTGTGTGTGTGTGTGTGTGTGTGTGAAAATATAAAGAAAATAGGAAATAACTTAGGAAATCCAAAGCTCTTTAGTATATTTCTTATTATTTTTTAAAAAAAGTGCTAATTCAATTTAATTCAAATAATTTTATTGAAGTTTTCGGCTCTTGTTTTGAAACATGAGGCCTCTTATGTAGCGTGTTGGAATCATATTTTTAAATAAATAATTATATATATATATATATATATATATATATATATATATATATTTGATCTTTATTTCAATCTTTCATAAGCTTCCGATCCTTAGCTATGATTAATTAATGATGAGAATGTCATTTTCGTTTATGATCGATTTCATTAAGATTCTTCTGACACATACACTTAGGTGCTTAGAGAGTAATTATACATTTTTATTGCCTAAAGTAGAGTCCAGTAGTGTTATAAAAACCTCGGAGACTTCCAGTAAGATATCTTTAATCATTTCTAAGCTACAACGGTTTGAAGCTTAATCTAACAAATGGAAAAAATTTATATATATATATATATATATATATATATATATATATATATATATATATATATATATATATATATATATCAAACCTAGAGAGCCAGCTTTCCCTGACGATCCGCTTAGGTGAAACCTTGGAAGGTTTGTCTGGCTCTCTAGGTTTGACTAGGCCTGCTCTAGTTTTGTATTGAGCACTTTTTAGTTAGTTGATTACTCGTATCGGTTTTTTTTCTTTGGGCTTTGGACCTGTATGCTGAACGATTATTTTCGACAGACGTTCATGTTCCTAGCTCTTTCTTTTTAAAAAAAACCTTTTTTTCCTTCGAAATTGATTTGATCATTAGCAAATCAAGAAACCGAAGGTTTTTTCGAGACGAGCGTAGTTACCTATATATATATATATATATATATATATATATATATATATATATATATATATATATATATATATGTGTGTGTGTGTGTGTGTGTGTGTGTGTGTGTGTTGTTCTCGGTGGTGGCAGTTGCAGAATGTCCAGAATTAGGACCATCTCTGGATCATATTTTAATCTCTGGATCGTCTGTTAATCTTCCTCCCTAAATCATCCTGCCTACTGTTGAAATGCTGATGGAGCTAAGACGTCATCCCAACCACGTCAGCATGGATGTTTTTGGAGGGGGGCGGAAACCCTTTTCCTGCAGGTACTTAATAACCCCACGATGCTTAATTTTGGTCCGTTTTCAAGAGAATTCGCTACCAGATTGCTTTTTGAAGTCTTTTTTGAACTGACAGATGGCCAAGTTACCTGGAAAGAAACAACGCAGTTATCAATAAGAAGAGTTGAAATTAATGCATGCAAAAGTTCACAGCTCTCCCACGTTTCCTTCATAGTCGGCCTATAAAGCTTTCAGCCCAACGTCGTATAAGCAAATAATGGAGAATAATGTACATAAACAATAACCGAAATTATATCTATCTCAAACTAACAATGGAGAAACATAATGTAATTTCAAAAATACCTTTAAAATGCCGTCCTTTTTTACGGCATGGGTAAAGTTGTATTTATAATAATTGCGACACAGAAAAACAATAAACAGGTTTTTCGTGCTTATATTTGGTACTGTTGCGGTCTCGTGATCGAAGATTCAGTTTCTGATTTCTTGGTCATTAAATGCCGAAGGTTTCCTGATAAGGAAACGGTTAATATTACGATTACCTTTAAAATCATCTTTCGGTGACGGAAACCAAAGGAACTCAGTGTTATGAATGTCTTCATCTGTGTCTATGTCAATCTTTTCATACCTACTAGTCTATTTATATCTATCAACCATGGTACACATTGATATGAACTACCCAGCATTGATTTATAGCCTGAGATAGTAGATAGGGCCAGTCTGAGATAGATAGATAGATAGGTAGATAGATAGATAGATATGAACAGAATAAGATAGATAGATATGAATAGAATGAGATAGATAGATAGATAGATAGATAGATAGATAGATAGATAGATAGATATGAACAGAATGAGATAGATAGATAGATATGAACAGAATGAGATAGATAGATAGATAGATAGATAGATATGAACAGAATGAGATAGATAGATATGAAGAGAATGAGATAGATAGATATGAAGAGAATGAGATAGATAGATAGATAGATAGATAGATAGATAGATAGATAGATAGATAGATAGATACGAACAGTAACTATATATCTCAATCAATTCAACTATGCATTATATCGATCTGATTGAGATAAATAGATAAAGCTAGAGAGAGCGAAAGATAGATAACATTGAAAAGGATGACGTAGATAGATAGATAGATAGATAATGTACAGGTTAAGATAGATAGATAGATAGATAGATAGATAGATAGATAGATAGATAATGTACAGGTTAGATAGATAGATAGATAGATAGATAGATAGATAGATAGAGAGAGAGAGAGAGAGAGAGAGAGAGAGATTGGGCTGGAGAATAAGCCATGAGCGTTTTTTTTTTAAACTAATAACTCTTTAGGAAGCCAAACATTTGGCGAATATTTTAGAACAACAATTTCTTGTTGTTCTAACATTTACATATATGTATGATTTTTGTTAATTTCATTACTTTTTGGTTCTGTTTCAGGCCCCTAAAATGGAATGCCAAGTAAACAAAACTCCTCATTTTCGACACCCTTTACTTTTTGCGTATAATCGAAAAGCAGCTCGTGAGGTTTGTGACGCGCCTGGAGATGGCGCAATGCCTCAAAGTATCGTCCGACGTTGGTTTTCACGCTTCAAATAAGGAAATTTTGAGCTCGAGGATAGGGAGCACTCCGGTCGACCAGTTGAGTTTGATAAAGAGAAATTAAACCAGTTTCTTCACGAAAATCCACGTCAGACGACCAGAGAATTGGCAGAACAGAAGAATTGCGATCGCAAAACTGTGGTAAATCACTTCCATTCAGAAGAGAAAAGATGCAGAAACTTGGTTCATGAGTGCCAGACGCACTGAATGACCACAACAAGAATCAGCGCGCAACAATTGCAGCCAATTTGCTGGCTCAGCACCGCTCAACATGCTGTCATAAACAGCGTTTCCTTTATCGCATTGTCACTGGCGATGAAAAATGATGTCTTTACGTCAATATGAAGCAGCATAAAGAATGGCTCAGTCCAATAAGCAAGCGACACTTCGAGCAAAACAAGACCTTCATACTCGAAAGATCATGTCTTATGTATGGTAGGATTGGGAAGGCATAATTTGTTATGAATTGTTTGAGTGAAATCAAACGGTAAATGCCGAGATCTACGTTTAACAACTGCACCGTCTCCGTGAAGCAATTCAGCAATAAAGACCGAATCGGCCACAGAGTGTTCTTCTTCAACACGACAACATCCGTTCTCACATCGCCAATATGACTAAAACCGTTATTAAAGAATTTGCATGGGAAGTGTTGCTTCATTCTTCATACTCGCCAGACTTGGCACCATCAGATTTTCATCTTTTTTGGTCTCTTTTCAATACCTGATGTATCGTTCAATACTGATGTTGAATTGAGTGTTTGATTGGACGAATTTTTGAGCTCGAAACCAGGAAATTTTTATCGACAAGGAATAGAAAAACTTTGTGTCCGATGGAAAAAAAAAGTTATCAACAGCAACGGGGATTATATTGTTGACTAATTTTTACTAATTTAACATTGTAAGACCATGACAATAAAACATTTTGAAAAACGCTCACGACTTATTCCCCAACCCAATAGATATTTAAGTCGTTTGGGCATGACAAAATCCAGCTTTTGTCACGTCATTCACGTTATATGATATGTAAACTAAATCAATTTGACTTCGACTGTGAGGTCGAAGCCTGGAGGTCGGTGTCCGTGTGTCGATGAGTCTGATGCAGAGGTCTGTGACATCACGCCAATTTGACACGAAGAACACTTCGCTCGTGACAAAATTTTAAGCCATTTTTTTTTTATTTTACCTCTCCTCATGTATCTGAAATGCTATTTTAAGCTTTGTTCACATTTTCTTTCGGCAATTTAAATCAACGTCTGTTTTTCGTGTCCCGACAAAAAAAAACTTGTTTATAGCGCTTCTTTCCATTACTTCCGCGAATTAACGGGTAATGCAACGGATATTTGCGCTTGAAAGTGAAATCGGCAAGTCACGTTCGACAGGACTGCTTTTATTTGAGACTGGTTCGAAAGGATTGATATATGGGTCCTACACTGTTTCTGATCTTCATCAATGATCGTCCTGATGTCCTCAGTTCTCAAGTAGGCATTTATGCAGATGACACTACCACTTACTTCTGTCTCAATAGCAAATCTGTCAGAGCTGACGGCTGCTATTAAAAAGGACCTCCAATCAGTGGTTAACTGGGACAGGAAATGGCTTGTAAATTGTTATGCCTCCAAAACGAAACTACTCTCATTTATTTATCTATATTTACCAGAGAAAAGCAATAACAACGAAAATTGCAATATAAGCGTTGGTAAAAAAAAATCCAATGATACCAGCAAAAATTGCAATATGAGCACTGGTAAAATGGTCGCTGAAGACATTAGGTTTATAATACCCAGAAATTCAGACACATTCAAATTCATACTTGACGTCCTTAAAGAAACATGGCACAGTGGATAAAGGCGTTGGTTAGATCCAGTGACAGGACCCAAAGAGTGTGAGTTCAATACCTGGTTAAGGCGGTGGAGAGCTTGGAGAGGGGCATTAACTGATAACTGACATCCATTAGACATGGCGCATGGAACTAGAACTAGTCTACCCCAGTAAGTGAAATAAAGAGTTTAGTTCGACATGCCAGCCACCTAAAGAAGGCCGGGACGTACAACGGCCGAAACGTTGTGATAAATATGGGAATAAAGGTAAGGATGATAGTCCGAACAATGTAAATAGTGCTCTCATTTATCAGTTAATTCACCTCTCCAAGCTCTCCACCGCCTTAACCAGGTATTGAACTCACACTCTTTGGGTCCTGTCACTGGATCTAACTAACTTTTTGGCACATTCATTTTCGTTGTCCTCAGTTAACTAAATTCTCGCACACCCACACATGTGTATCACACACGCTTATTTCAAACTCACACAATCACATTCCCATAGCGAGTTTTAATGTATTTTCCTTTTATTTCAGTTCTCTACACATGTAATTCGTTTTGTTAAATAACATGCTTTGGCATTTGTTTTAAATTCCATGTTTTGTGCTATTTATTTTTACCCGGACTCATATGAGTCCGCCAGTATTGTTTGCGAGTGAAATGTTTCAGGAGCCCATAAATATTTATTATAAAACGTCCAGTTAACGGCCGATCCGGTAGGAAGTTTTATTCGTATTTATGGAGATTCATTATTTTACATTGAGGGTTATCGCAAAAAATAAATAAATAAAAATTAAAGTTAAATAAAGTCAAATAGACTGAAAATGTAATTAAAGAAAGAAAAAATGTCATTTCAAATTGTATAAAATTTAGCAAGGCTTACATGTTGAAATGCGGACACAGAATGGACATTATTTTACATTGAGGGTTATCGCAAAAATTAAATAAATAAAAATTAAAGTTAAATAAAGTCAAATAGACTGAAAATGTAATTAAAGAAAGAAAAAATGTCATTTCAAATTGTATAAAATTTAGCAAGACTTACATGTTGAAAGGAGGACACAGAATGCCCATCCGACAAATGCACAACTTTCTGACGCCAATGAGATTGATAGCTATCAGGTTTTATGGGGTAGATTACCCAAACACACAGCAAGTTAGCGGAAGGGTCATCAACAAAGAAAAAACAAAATAGATTTTACATTTGGCGGGGTGGGGGTCACTTCCCAACCTCCCGGGCTCCCAAAATTAAAAATTCTCACTCAAAGATAAAAAGTCAAAAAGCAGAACATTATCGGATTAGTCCATCCATATGCGAACGGAGGAGAGAGAAAAAAACGTCAGCCGATACGATCGTTACCAATGCTCACACACACACACACACACACACACACATATATATATATATATATATATATATATATTATATATATATATATATTTATATATATATATATATATATATATATATATTTATATATATATATTATATATATATATATATATATATATATATATATATATATATATATATATATACGGACATACATATATATACATCAACAAAAATACCTTATGCCAAGTTAAAAAGCATGGAAGGTTACGTTGGAAGTATGGGAAAAAGTTTTAAATTATAGAAAAAAAAATAATACAAACAAAATGAAAAAATTAAAGTTAAATAAAGTCAAAGAAACTGAAAATTAAAATAAAGAAAAGAAAAAATGAAATTCCAAAAATGGATAAAAATTTAGCATAGCTTACATGTTAAAAAGCGGACACAAAATAACATCCGACAAATACTCAACTTTGCGACGCCATTGAGAGTGATAGTTATCAAGATTTCTTTTTTTAATATTATGATTAATATTTTATTTCCTTTGATTTCTGCTGTGTACTTATTTCTTTCCGTGTCCCGACCAGAGACCTAAGGTCAGAAATGGCATCATGACATTTTCCACTGAGCATTTAAAAAAAAAAATATTTTACATAGATAAAGCCCTTCGTAAGTTGTGGGCTGTACTTGTGAGAACATTTCTTTGTATTTCTTTAAGGCATAGGCTACCATGAATCCCTTCAATAAGACTATTGGAATCTTTTTCAATCAACCCGAGGGCTCCAACTCCAACTGGAATTGTTGATATCTTCATGTACCACATTTTTGAGAGTTACACTTCAACATCCTTGTATTTTGATAGATTTTTGAAATCTTCAAACATACATTACAGTCTACGAAATGAACGACAAATATTTTAATATATTTTATTTTTATACTTTATTTATATATACACAAATATTTAAGTAAATGCTCTGTTTATAATAAACAGTATTAACAAAATTTACTGGTATGAATGTCCGATAAATTTCATAGAAAATATGCGTCTTCTGACAGGAATCGAACCTGTATTCTACACGGAACTGTCATAGAGCCTTTCTGTCTTAGATTTGAATTTTCCACCTATTTTGCATATAATCCATTATGTTACATAATTAAGTTACAATAAATATTTTATATGAATACTGCATTATGAAAATTGAGATGTAGTAGAGTGCGGTTCTCCTTATCAAAGATTTAGAGACATGTCATAGATTTGGGGAGGGCGTACAGGCATTTGCAACGAACCTGATATACAGTAATGTTTCCTGCGACAGCTAAAGTGATTTTTTTCTTATAATATTTTGTATTGCGTTGATAATTTGCTTGAAACATTATATGCTTAAATAAGCTAAAAACATTTTTTTTCCTTAATACGTTCCGCTAAAACAGCGAGATATATTTGACTGAGCCTCGGGAATGTTTGTGCGTCTTCCATGATGTCAAACAGAATAATCACCGGATTTAGAAGAGTGATTTAATTGTTCTACTGAGGCTGTTCGCAGCTCCTGTCGAACTCTCTGCCTTTGGGCAGAGAGGAACCCTGACTAGGCTGTGCCGAAAAAGGCAGAGTTTCGTCCGGGGAGGTAGACAGACCCGAACCCGTTTATGCGGGTCCTACGGTTTTTTGGGGGTTTTTTTTTTTTTTGGTCGAGCCTACGGGTTGGATGACCCACGTTAAACTCGGCCTTGTGCCACATTTATCCCTCGTGGGGAGTGAGGGGGGGCTGTTAAATATTTATCACCGGATTTCGAACTTAAACAATTTTCTTTTATTTCCATGTAATTTTATTTTTTTTTTTATATCGCATCAAGGTCGCCTTCACTTTTGCAAAATATTCGTGTGGGCGGTAACTTGACCTTGAATGGACACTTATATGTATCGACAGTTTCTCATTCCCCGCAACAGATGGCCCGTCATCCGTTTATGAATAGGGATGAACTGACAAAAGCTAATTTCAAAAATTCTTCTCGGCAGTCCTCTTCTTTTATACCGAATTCATTAAAAAAGGAAACGAAAAAAAAAAAGAGAGAAAAAACGAAAGAAAAAAAACACCGTCTCTCGTGATTCAACAAACAATAAAGGCAATGCGACAATTTCATTATACAACAGATCACGTGACCTCGTTATGGACAGAGTGTGCCCTCTCATGACAGTCGGATAAAAAAAAAAACAGAATCAAACAGTTGAATACTGTATGTGGGGTTCGCGCTCTAAATTGCATTCGCGATGAGAAATGGCAAAAAATGCAATATATACGAAAACAAGGCATAATTTAAATCGTAACAAGTGCTTTTGAATAAGAACAAAACGGGCCTTGTTTTTTTTTTTTTTTTTTTTTGAACGGGGAACAAAATTCATAGCTATTAAAGTAATGTACATAGGTTAAATTTCAACCAAATAAGGGAATTCATTTTTTTATTATTATTATTTTCATCCGATATTAAGTCTACTAACTTTAAGCCTCATAGTAAATTGCTTTCTAAAAACGGTGAAATTAATGTCTGCCAACATATAAACTAAAAGTCTTAATAAAGAAAAATCCCACTCGATCGAAATCGAATCTGTAATCGCTTTATAACCAAGGAAACCACTTTCAAGTCAAGCGCGCTTTACCATTAAGCTACGAGAAAGTATTACGCTAAAACATATCTCAGTTACATTGCTTGAGAAATACACATCGCACGTTGTGACATTACCAAGTCTAGATCTGTTAAATTTATTTTCGTGATTGTAACGTAATCAAAGTAATTAATGAATGTTTTGACAGGAGATTATTTCTTTTTACCATAAATTTTACATTTCGAATGTTTACCGGCCAACAGGTCTTTAAAAAGAAAATGTACCACCCGACGTGAATCCGGAATAAAAGCCGGAATGTCTAGGTTTATTGTAATAAAAGATACCTGACTAAAAGATCCATAA